AGCTGTCTATACATCTGATACTCCATCACAGCTCTGAACTGATTTGGTTTGATGTGTAAAACAATCTTGAAGTCTTGACCTGCTTGATACCATTGCTGATTGCAGGCGAATGTTGGGGGCAAATAGAAGTTGTCTAGAGCTCTGCTTCCCTTCAGTATTTTAACAGCTTTTTTGAGTAGGGAGGGAAAGGTTTTCTGACCCAAAAATATGATAAATGTGGTTAAAATTTTATCTCTTTGCTCTGGACTTTCAACTACTTTAAATTAGTACTAATTAACTGTACAGAGTTCAGAAAAGCCTAAAATATCTTAATTAAAGTTGTAAAATACCTTATGAAACCGATTCCTATTTCTGCAAACTGTAACATTATTTCATAATTCAGCTGAATTAATCTTTGCACAAGCCCAGATCAGAAGGGAAATGTATAAAGTGCTGTAGGACAGGATTATGGTGAAGTACAGCAGGTATTCCAGCTATGCCACACTGCACTAGCATGAAGTCTGTGCTAGCCTTCCTTTGTACAAAATGAACATTAAATTACCTCATAAGCTAGAAAAAAAGGTTTTATTTGCATATGACATTAAAGATAATGAGAACAAAAGCCTCCAACTTTCAATTTGAGGCTACTATTAATGGCACAAAATTACTTTGTGCCATAGGCCAAAAGCCTGGATGGAATATTCACCCATATGAAGATCAAGCAATCTAATTTTATCCAGTCTTTGGGAGATCCAAATCAGCACTAGTGTAACTGTGCCAAGAGCAGTACTAAAGATCAAGATGAAGCAAGAAAGGAATTGGATAAGATCAAGCCCTCATTCTCCTTTCATATTCAAATAACTCCAAAGTATCAGAACATTCCCATTATAAATTACAAAAATGATATCACGACAAATGGGAACTTTAACATTTGTCCACATGAATTGCAGTATTTCTTCCTAGGAAATCTTAAACTAATATACTGTCTCAGGAATATTAAATATTGGAGTTCAATCAAAGAAAACTTGTTTTAGTATTATGAGATCTACACTATGCTGTGTTTTCATTCTGACTAGTGACAGCAAGAGGACATTATTTTTTGCAAATACCCTTTTCCTTAAAAGACCACTTTGTTACCCACTTCAAAAGCAGAAAATAACCACAAAACCAGGAAGAAATGTCTTTATACAATAAAAATGTATTAATTGCCATTATTTACTCCGTAGATTCCTTGATTCTTTACCAGATAAAATCGTAACTTGCCACTCACAAACTACTCTGATGGAATAAAAACAGTACTGTTGGCATTACCTACCAAGGACCTTGCTTACAGGACAAGTAAACCCTCATGTAAGAGGGTTGGTGTAGCAAATATTTTCAACACACATTTTGTAAGTATATATTTTCAACAATATATATACACCTACGAAACCTACTGTCACTAAATTACACTATACAAGGAATATACCACAGGTATTTTTGTTCCCCAGTCCTAGGCCAGCTTTTCCTTACAATTTCCCCCATCATAACAACTATTTGTGTGTACAGTGTATGTAAACCTTAGGGTACTTGTGCACACACTCCAATTCCTTCACTGAGGTGGTTTCAAACAGAAGATGCAAGAGTGCAATTACCAAAAGTAATCTTACCCTTGCACTGCTGAGCTGTTTTATAGTTTGGGAAAACTCAGATTTAGATGTAACTCCAGTGCCCGTTCTCCTGGAGATTGAACACCATAAAATTAAAGTTTTAATATGTAGAAATTGCATAAAAGAGTCAGTTTGAAATGGCATTCACAAGTCAGGAAGAATGTTATTCCATATTAAAGGAAAATTTTGCTAGCTGCTAACACCAAGATGTTGTGATCCTATTTCTACAGCGCAAGGAAAGATGCCCAGATAGAGAAACAGAGAGAAAAGATTTTGAAACCAGAACTTTAAACAGGAAAAGAAACGAAAACAACTAAAAACCTGCAGAGCTCTAACAACTCTTTTTTCCCATACAAAAGCAATTAAACTGCTGTTTATTCATGGCCAAAACACTGAGGCTTTTTTGTAATTATTGCAAAAGGAACTTCTACTTTCAGTTAGTTCTACATGCTGAAATTGTTTAGCTACATCAGACCCAAATTTCCATTCTACTGCTCTGGTGCAATTTTCTAATTACTCATTATTGTGTAACTAAAGCACATCTCCATGTTTCTTCTCTAAATAGAAAACAACAGTGTACTAAGGAGAAGTAAATAAATAGTCCATACAGTTTTCTAAGACATAAATCTGCACATGGCTAATGATTTCCTTTGATAAGTGAAAAATATAGTTACTGTAACAGACATTGGTTCTGTAACAGTGATACAGGTCAAAGTTATCACACAGTTTGGGATGTGAATTCAACAGCAGGATAATGACAGTTGCCAAGGATTTGTACTTGCTGTCTCTTGCTGCCAGTGTTGCCTGTCAAATTGTCTCTTTTTCTTATACTGAAGCCATGGGATTTTTTATGGATAGCAATTACTTACAATATCCAATGAAGTACATCAGATATAACAACCACCCTTTAGCCTTTCATTATTTGGTCGTCTCTTTGTTATTTCTAGTCATCCATTTGCACCTAAATTATTTATTTATACTGCATATTTGACAAGCATGTATTCTTTGCTTTATTTTTTTTCAGTAGTTACTCCAAAGATATGGGGATTTATTTCAATATTCTGCTACTTACGTTTACCTTATTTTTATTTCTGTACTTGTACTTTGTGTTGGATTTCTCAAGAAAAGCATTGTCTGAACAGCAAAGACATTTTGTTTATCTATTAAAGGTAATAAAAATTAAAATAATGGCAATATCAGATCTTAACCATGATGGAGGGATTAAGCAAATCTTATATTATTCATTATTTGTTTGCATTGTTGTTTTTCTTGAGCCGTCATATGAGTTTCATATTTGTTTGCATTTACATTATTGTTGCACTGCATGCATGTATATCCCAGATAACCATATTAATATATTTTTATATTGATAAGTAAGCAGAGGATGTTTCATATATTATGGTCCTGAAACATTTTCTGGTACAGGTCTGCATTAACATCATCATAAGACTTGTGAAAATTCTAAATTTCATTTCATTATACAGGAAACCCACAGTATACATGTTTTACAAGGTAAAAACCAAAGCCTGATAGTTTATCAAATTCAATGTTTGGGAAGCTGCCTTCATAATAACTCACTCAACAAAGGACAGCTTTACACACACAATCTTTATCATTTTGAGAAGGACCTTCTTCAACAAATAATGCTGCAAACCTCACACCTACCAAGTAAACTAAATTGATCTCAGCTCATACAGCAGCTGGAAAGAAAAAGTGATGATTGTTTTCCTTTTATTAAAAAAACAAAACCAAAAACAAAACATATCTTCTACCTTTCTCCTAACACTCTTTCCAATTACAGGCTATCACAAAACTAGAATCCATTCTAAATGAGTACATGCTGAGTAATAACCTAGTAAGTGCAGGCTGCGAGTGAAACTCTTGTCCCAATGAAATTATTGGGAATTTTGCCAAAGGCTTGAATGAAAATTTTACACTGGATCTCTGAGTTGATGAATAGAAAAAAACTGTTTCTCCTTTCTGTCACTTCCCCACTGAAACCTTGGCATCCCACAGACCTCTGGCCACAGAAACTTTTTCTCCAGTACACTAAAGAAAAGAAACCAGACTGCTCAGGGAAGCAACTGGTGCTTAATGCACAAGAAAATGTTTGATCAGTTCTTTTTGGTCATAGCAATAATCTGAGAGCATTTACTATCTCTTCTTAGAAATTAGCCAAGAAACTAGACAGCACCCAGTGCATCTCTTCTGTCTCACCCCAGAGACACGGATCAGACAAAAACTACTTTATGTCCAAGGAATGAAGATGCCACACTACGGAAAAGAAACAGGGGCGAAAAATGGGAATATACACAAGTGCTCCTAAAGAAATTGATAACTGAGCTACCATAGTGTAGTTGTACTAGCTGGGTAGGTAACAAGGCCAAATAAAAGCTACAGAAGTTTGAGACTGAAGTGTCATTCGTACTCGCACAAGTTGGTGTCTGCCATCTGCTCTCTGTGCGGCGGAGGAACAAGGGGAGCAGCACCCTGGGATCCGCGGTGGCTGGAGGGGTTTGGCGCTGGGCTTTGGCTGCTGGGCTCACAGCCAGCTCTGCCAGAGCGGAGCCGAGCGCATCCCCCTTCCCAGGGCCCGGGGGGAGCCGCCAGACGGCCCCGCGGGGCCGCTCCTTCCCGCGGGGGCTGCCCGGGCCCCACACACGCGGCCCTTCTTTCCCCGTCCTGCCCCGTCCTGCTGCTCCGCTCCAGGAGTGCCCCTCCGCCCCGCTGTGACCCCGGCACCACACGGCTGTGCCCCTGAGCCCCGCTCCCGCCCCTCCATGGCAAGGCTGCCCGCCTGGCACAGCCCTGCTGAGGGTCTCCAGACACTTTGGGATCGCTCCCCTTCAATAAAGCCGCGCCGTACCTCGTCGGTTTTAATCGTTCTTATACTTCCTCTGCTACAAAAGTATCCTCAGCTCTCCTGACCGAAATCAACTCTAAACACCACGGCTCGGGGTTCCGGTCTGCTGTTCGAGCAAAGAGCAAGAACTGGTATCTAAGGAGACAAAGAGACGTGAGAAGACAAAGAAAATTATTTTACATTCCAGGACCACTAAGTCAGCTGCAGGTGGACCCAGAATGAAGGATTCACAAACACTTTTCAGAACTAAAAAATTTTAAATAGAGAACCAAAGTTAAAAATCAGTGTGCCTGTAGGGTTTTGAGATATATCGAATGAAACTGAGAGTGCATCATACAGGGAAACTATACAAATATTTTAAATGTTCCACATCTCTTGATCCTTACTCTGAGACTGAGGCTAACAAAATATTTAGTCAATTATATTTTTTCGACTTATCACGCAGAAGCAAATGAAGCATCATTGACAAATTACATGAGTGAAAAGTTGCCATGGTTTTCTTTACTCACACTTTTTTTTGCTAATGCAGGTTGTGCATCCCTGTGGCACGAAGACACTTGCAGAGTTTGGAGCTCATCGTATTTTTTGTGATGATGCACATGCCATATGGCATTTTTCCTGAGCACTTATCAGACTTCTGTTGTTTGCCATTTCCTGTTTAGAAGTACAAAAGATTGTAACTAAAGTGAAAGTGAAGGCTATTTGTTAATTTTTTAAGACTGATGATAAAACAGTGATTTAAAAAATGGAACCAATCTTTTATCATTATTTTCTCTACAGCTTTTGAGAAAATGGTGGGATTCAGACAGTTTCATTTGGAATCTCTCTATACTTTGCATATTCCTCTTTTCTGGAGCTGCAAGATTTGAAACTGAAATGAAAATTTGGAGGCTATAAATAAAGAGAGAAATTGCATTCTTTGTGGATTTAGATTAATCTGATTATCTGTACATACAATCAAATCAGAAACACCTGAAGTCATACAGATTTTCAATAAATCCATCTTTTCACCTCTTGTTTTCTCCCTGCTGCCCCCATCTCCTCTACCTCTACTGAAATGGAGAAACTTCTGTGTTTCAGAAGTTGTCTCTACATAGACATCACCAGGAAATCATGAGCTTTGTAATTATTTATTTCTTTTAATAGGAAGGGTTCTTTTTTATTTATAATTTAGGAGAAGAAAAGTATGCAATGGACCTTCAGATAAAATTATCTGAGTCCAGGTCAGAATTTACACCTAATTCAAACCTAAGGCAGATCACTGACTTTTGGACATACAAAGAGTCTAATATTTTACCTGTAATTGATTCATACAGGCTGGACAGTTGAGAAAACTTTAAATTATCTTTTTCTTACTTATATGATCTGCCATCCATTACCTGGGAAAAGGAAACTTTCATGCTGTTACTGCAAAAGCTCTGCTGGCAAAGTCTAACAAAGTAAGCTCTTAAATTGAGTGCTTGCTTTAATATTGCACCAAGATCAATTTTTGAAAATATGTTTCCTTTTAATGAAAAAAAACAACACACAATTTACATACACAGTCGGCTGCACTATTTTTCAGGGACAAGATTTTCTGGGCTGATGTGTGTAACAGCTTAGCAATCACAGTTACCAGTAAAAAACTAACAGTAGCAGTAAACACTAAAGCAAACCTGAAGCTGGCCTTACAGTTTAAGAGCCAATTTCTGCACATACTCACACAGTTGTTTAATATTAAGCATGTCAGTGTGCCCATTACTGCAGGGCAAATAGAAGTATACACACTTCTTTGCAGGACTGAAGCCCTGTTGTGCATTTCTTAAATGAATGTTTGCATTTGAAGAATATATATATTATCATTTTCACAGTCCACAAAATGCAGACACATCATCATGTCATTTAGATTAGCAAGACCAACTTTTAACATTGTGTTCATTGAAAACAGCTACAAAACCTGTAAGTCTCACAAACTGATCCATTTGACTAGTGATGCAAAGAGGTTGCTGCTTCATTGCCCTCCCAAATTTCTTGAATTACTCTTTCTTTTAGATCTTTTGTTAAATAGATTGACTTGATTTTTTTGCTGAGAGGATTTTGTTAATGATTTGTCTGTACAGAGTCTGACACAATGGGCCCTGAACTTGCCTGAAACATCCACGGAAAACCTCCCCCAGCCCCCAATCAACATTAAGGTAACTGGTACCAATAACATAATAAAGTAGACCAGAGTAATTCTGTGAGCCAAAAAAACCCCAACTGTACAGCTGAAATAAAATTTTAATATTAAACCAGGTGAATCTCAGTACCAGTTACAAAAATCAGAAAGAAATGCAAATTTTATTCAGTAACATTTATTTCCATTTGACTGGGTTGATCTATAGCACACGACTGAAGCAGGTGAAGAAGGAATGGCAGGAGAATTTTGCCACTTTGGCTGACAACTGGTCATTAGATCAGCACAGCTGTATCTTCAAACTACACCTTTCAGTTCAAACTGAAGAGGCAACAGTTTTCCTTAAGGTAAGACTGAAAAATATATGTAGTATAGGAATATATAATTAAATGGCATTTGAGGAACAGCAACTATATTCTTCCCTGTAATACTAAAAGGCACTTTACTACTTGTTGCCATACTCATAAAGTACTTTGGTCTTTAAAAGAATCCACATAATGGAAAAGTGTACATCAAATGATAAATTATAAACTGTATCTCTAAAGGAAATAAGCAAAAAGCCAATTAGCCTGGTACTTTTTTTGAACAAACATGTGAAAACATAACCAATTATCTTGGAAAGAGCCCATTAAAATAAAACGAATAAAATGAATACCAGAACTAAATATTTCATTTTATAACTACCTTTCTAAAGAAGCTGGTTTTAACATAAGCTGTGAAATACTGTCAATCTGTCATGTTTTCAGGCTTTGTGGACACCACAGTTGTTGCTCCCTTGCCTTTGTGTATATTGCAGTTTGCAGTAGCAAGTGACCAAAGTGACATTAAACACACCCAGTTCTGAAAAGGCTTTTCAAACCCCTGAATATTTGGCTTAAGTCTATCAGAATAAAGATCCAGGTATGGCAACAAAAGGAGTCTTATCCAGTCTTTTCATTACAGGAATTTTAAAAAAGAATATGACAGAACATGTGGCTCTACACACATGGGTAGCAGCATGTGACCAAGCAGAATGTGAACATATTGACAAGAGGGAGAGGAAGAAAAGAGGTCCTTTTGTTTGAAAAATCCACATGCAGGACAGGCACAACTGCAATTTTAATACTGAGAGGGTGGATGGGTATTAAAACTCTTCTGTGTTCAGTGACAGACACGAAAAAAGGAAAGCCATAAAATGGCACTCTTTCCTTCCACAGTTGCAGAAGGATATTGAGAAAAATGTGTATGACAGAGCAGTCCTTTCTTACAGTCTCACAGAGCATCACACAATTCCTTAGTAAATCTACTGAGCCTACATGACAAAACTAGGACTGAAATTACAACATCTGAAAACAGTTACTACAGAATGTACTAGCATACAACTGGGGGGGTGGGGGTGGAAATAAGCTAACTTTTATGTATCTGTAATTTAAACTCGAACAGAACTGGACCTTGACTTCAGACAAGGTCCAACTCTTAAATAAGATGCCTTACAATGACCATGATGCCTGGTGGTACCAGCCTAGTCATGCTACCTTTTCCATTTTAGGATGAAAATGGGGGTTAGAATATACCACACTGACCAAGTGTGACCAATAATGGCAGTCTACTGACGAATGAGACCTTTACTTTCAAACAACAGTGTGCTGTTGACCCAGGAAAGCGTTTAATACATATATGAAAAATACACATTTCAGAGGATTTAACCCCTGAAGGTTTTATCTACACTAGTGCTCTTTCTTGTTACCCTTTCACTCCACCTCTGGTCACTATCAGAGTACATGCTTAACCCTGGTTTTGTGGTCACTGAAGAAAGCAAATTAAGGCAGTAGATGATTGTGAGGTTTGCCACCATGAGAAAACACTCCACACCCTTACACCACACACTTCCTTACTGACACAGCAATTTTGGAAAGTAAAACATCACGTTAATAATGTGATTTTTCAAATGCAGTTTGTTTAAATTATCAAGTTTGCAAAATCAAGCACTGAAAATCAAGATAAAAAAACATAAATTTGCACTTGCAGTTTTTATTTAAGTACATGGATTCTGGCAGGCTTAGTGACATAATAACTTCTTTTTATGATTCCTCCAAGTCAGTCACTTCTCTGAGCCAGAAATACGCAGGAAAATGCAGTAAAAGAGTGAATTATCTCATGGGTAAGGTCTGCTGCCTCAGAAAAATGTGATTTCATTCTTGTTTTTGTCTTAAAAGACTAAAGTGGTTTTCCCAGGAAAAACACAAGCACTAGTCACATTTCCTAAATACCTGATTTTGAGCATCAGTAAATAATTTGTCACAGGGCACAAGAGTAAATGCCATGCTGAGCAGTGCTAGCAGAGAGAGGAAAGGTGTGAGTATCTTTGTCTTTCCCTCAGTTAATGTATGCCTGGTTTACACTGATTGACACTGCACTTTAAAGACAAAAACTAAGTCATGAAATCTTTCAAATTATCAAATTTGACTGAATTTTCATCCATTGATTTTACTCCACCTGCAGCGCACTAGACAAGGTAATAATTTATGATAATTATATGAAAATATACAATTAATATTCATCACCTCTCATTTCTCATCACTTTAGATGATCAGTAATGCAGAGTAAAAATGCTGTCAGATTTCTAATTGCTTTGTAATGGGCCTGAAATAGGGAAATCGTTAAAGACAAACAATCTGTCACTTGTCTGTTACCTTAACTATCTATCACTTAAAAAAACCCTCATTAAATACATTGCTAATGAACGACAAAAGACTGTACTCAGTGTGCCCAGATGTACCTTTTTAAACAATATTGTAAATTGCTTAAATAGTTCCCAAGACATTTTCAATCATTTTTGTGGAAATTTAATGGAAAACATATATTTTCCGTGCATGTTACATCTCATTTGTTCACATCATTATGACATTTAGTCTATCATATGCACATCTCCTGGGAGACAAAACTTTTCCTTTTTACTGTTGACAAACCTGATCCAATTAAAACAAATTCTGGAAGAACTTAACACTCAGATCTCTGACCCCCTTCTCTTAAAAAAAAAAAAAAAAAAAAAGAGGAAAAAAATCCACTATTAACAAAATCCACTATTAATTTTAAAATAATCCTAACTCTTTCAAGGATTTTTAATATCTAGATTAAAAAAGAAGTTCAACATTGTCCAGTGTTGAACAAATTATTTTCTCTTGATTGTTCCCAAGAAACAGAATCAGAATTTTCCCTTTTAGCACTTTTTTGAGTCAGTTGTCTGCCATAGTTCTGACAGAAAACTTCATTTGAAAAAATTGTTCTCACTGTACTGACTTAAACAGCCAGGATGAAAACAGCACACCAGGAGTATCAGTGAGACCCCCTAGTGAAATACATATTATTACTTGCCACATTAATTAATTGGTGATATTAACTGCCACGTTACAAAGGTGAAAAAAATGAAGAACAATTACAAAAATTATTTAAGATAAAACATCCATCTGTGCGTGACTTAAA